AACCAGTAATGCCAGAGGGCTTTTCCTTAATGCTTAGGCAGAGGTCATGAAACCAAAGTTAGACACTGACTAATGGTCAATGCTATGCTAAGTAAATGCCGTTTACTTGCTCTCTCCCAAAACCTGTATCAACCACTATGGTCTCTCAAAGTAGAGCTTATTTCATAAGAAAACAAATTCTCTGCACCTTTGTTTCTCCTCCAGACTCTCACTACTTGTACTCAGACCAATTTACAAGTGCTCTCATTTCCCCATGTCACAGGGGAGTTTTCTCTCTAGGAAAACCATATTCTGTTTTGCTATGAAGCTGATGATGCTGTGAGTGTGTTGGGATTGAGGAGACAATTATAAGAGGGAAAATATGCACATCTCCAAAGGGAAAGTATGCTTCTCTTCCTTGGGACAGAACAGGACACCTGTAGGAAATGTGATTGCTATGGCCTTTTGATACCAGGAAATATAGAATCCTATTGAAGAAAATCTATTTTCAAAAAGTGACAGAACAAATTAATTGGTACAAGTAAAACTCATCCTGGACAGAGGAAAAAAACCCCAAAACTTTCTTCTTTTTGACTTCCATTCTTGAAAGAGGACTGAAAGTACAGCAGGATTTCCCATACCTTAATAGGCAAAAAAAGCTGAATGAGAAATGACTGAGGCATTTTAAGTATTGAAGCTAAATATCTGAAATATGACCTTAGTAGTTAGAGTGAGTAGGTTTCGGTAGATTTAAAAGAATTTTGTGCCCCTAAGGTGGGGATGTGAGATGTTAGCTTTTAGTAGATTTTCTTGTGAAGCCACGTGGCTACACTTCTGGTTGTCCATCTAGGAAATAAAAAGCACTGTACTTTAAAATCAGGTAGGCAGCCATATGTATATGTAAATTAATACTGCTTTGGTGGAAGAGCAAATACTTGAAAGCTATGCTAGAAACCTTAAGAGTAGCAAATAATTCTCCAGTTGCAGAGACCCTTCCATTCATGTCTGTGGCTTCTTGTAAGAAGCCACAAAGTGGCTGTGAGTTTCTCTTCATTCCTGTGTGTATTTTTAGAAATTAAGTACTAGACCACAGATTAAGAAGAAACTTGTGTTCAGGATGTGTGTGGTGCAGAGAACATATTTTCATTATAGAGTAAGCATTAGCTAGTAGGGAAAAAAGTTGGAGATTATTTAATCTCATTACAAGAAAGTTTCTATGAAATCTATTTGTGCACTTTAAAAAGAACATACCAAAAAACCCAGGAGAAAAAGCAGGATGGAGGAATGAAATAGATCATAACTGAGTGATATTACTGAATGATCAGGTGGATGCTCAGAAACAGGCTAGCTTGCCTGGTCCAACAGCTGTCATTGGCAGGAGAACACTGCTACCAGAGCAGCTCTGGGTGCTGCTGTTGTGTTTGTAGGCTCACGAATGTATTTCTCAGCAACAAGTGAAATGCTGGTAAGGGGCACAGCAGCAGTATTAACCAGATGACGTTTCCTAAAGTTCCTGCTGCTTCTGTAGGTAACAAGTTTTACTTGTGTGAAGCTTATTCCTTTCTAGCAAAGACAGTTGGGTGGGGAGACAGGCAGGGATTTGCTTCTGTTTCCCTTCTTTAAGCCTGTGCTGTAAGTGACTTCAGAGAGGAGCAGAAGAACCTGAGGTATGCTGTGCACATTGGGAGAGGTTCTGTAAACTGTCTGAGCCTGAAGTCATTGCCCTCTCTTAGTCAACAGGATCAAAATAGCAGTAAGTGTTAATGCAGCATAACACCAGGACATCTCTATACTGTGCATGTAATGCTATATAACGACTAGGAATATATAAAAGACTCTGGGGCATAATTCAGGTATCAACTGTGGTTTATATTTAATGGAATTGTAAGGCAAAAGCTCCTTCCTCCTCTCTTTGGCCGCTTTATTGTCCTCTTGGCCCTTTTTGGCCCAGACATGTCGCTGCTGTCGTTCTAAGAGTGGGGCATGGTAGTAGGAAGAATCGTTGTGGGGGAGCATGACTGCCTGAGCCTATTAAAAGCAGTGTCAGTTCAAAGTTACTTGATTAAAAGTAGCGTAGAATTTGCCATTGCAGCAGCTGATTAATAAGCAATTACTCTCAAGTGAACAAAAAAATAACAGAAAGAAGTAACTGTAACCAGAACAACAAATGCTGCTTCTGAAATTAAACACAGGAGTGATCAGTCACACTGACACTTATTTGTGGTATGATTTCTCACCCTACTTGCACCTTGTTTTAGAATAATATAAATCAGTCTGCTGGTAGAAGGTGCAAGAATGGCTTTGGGCATTTCCTATACAGCCACTGGAGTTGTTGGTGTGAAGAAGCACCTAAAACCGATGAAACCTGTAGCCAATGGACGTGTCCTGCAGGTGATAAAGCAGCTCCAGATCTTCCTCTATGACTGGAGATTACTCTTAGTGCAGAAATTAAGTCTTCACATAGATGGAAAGACCTGGACCTGTTAGAACAAGTCCAGAGGAGGCCACGAGGATGATCCAAGGGCTGGAGCACCTCTCCTATGAGGACAGGCTGAGAGAGTTGGGGCTGTTCAGCCTGGAGAAGAGAAGGCTCCAGGGAGACGTTATAGCAGCCTCCCAGTACCTGAAGGGGCTACAGGAAGGCTGGGGAGGGACTTTAGACACAGGCAGGTAGTGACAGAACAAGGGGCAGTGGCTTTAAGCTGAAAGAGGGCAGGTTTAGATCAGATATTAGGAAGAAATTCTTCACTGTGAGGGTGGTGAGACACTGGCACCGGTTGCCCAGAGAAGTTCTGGCTGCCCCCTCCCTGTAAGTGTTCAAGGCCAGGCTGGATGAGGCTTTGAGCAACCTGGTCCAGTGGAAGGTGTCCCTGCTCATGGCAGGGGGGTTGGAACTGGATGATCTTTAAGGTCCCTTCCAACCCAAACCATTCTGTGTTAAATCCAAGTTTCTTGTTTCATGCATTGTCAAGCAGAAGGAAAATCTGAATGCATGCTGCTGCCCAAGGGAGATTCAGACTATTTTATTGGTCACTCAGTGCTGTGGGCTGGAATCTTTCCAAGCTTGCTTTTTGTATGGCTTGCCTCATTTTGTTCCTCTGTTCAGAAGTAAACCTGGTTTCACCTATCTGCAGCTGCATAACCCTTTTTCTTTCTAATACAAGTATACGTCTTTGCCAACTCCCAGAAACCCCTTACATGGAAAAAACTTTATTGCAGCAAGGTATTTTTAGCTGTCTCCAGCAGAATTTAGTGAAGAAGGAAAGAACAGCCAGTATCAAATCATCAGCCAGCTAGCTCCTTTTAGGCTACCAGCGTGTGCTCCTTGGTCCCACCTCTGCTCCATTTGGCACTCGGGTAGCATTCTGGTCTACTGTTGGTAAATCCAGAAGGTAGTGTTAATTTAAGACCATTAAACCATCCTTGGTTAAAAGAGCTGTGTGACAGCTAATCTTTGAAGTGGCTAAATAATATTTTTTTCTAGTGGTGAAATTAAGGTCTCCAGAAATATGCAGTTGCCCATTGCTTGAGGGGAGAAAAATTATTTTCCAGTTCAGGCTTAGCTGTAGCTTCTTCAGAGTCCAGTTTCGCCCTGACCTTCCTGTTAAAGAAAACTGGTTATGGATACGGTTGATCTTTTTCGTGCTCCGTTTATAGCTGAAAAAGTCAGCATGCCAAAATTATGATGCAAGTTAGTTTAAGAAACCAACCAAACATTCTCCAAATGTTTAACTTTGGAAAGTAGCACCTTTGCACTTACAGTGCGTGCTCTGTGCCCGTATTTACACTGTAGATGTAATGCTTCTGAAGGGTGGCCATGGCTTTGGAAGCTGGCAGTGGAGGGGTTTACCAGAAGTTTAGTGTGCCGTCTTAGTTCCTGCAGCCTGTGTTTTAGTTAGCTTCTATGATTTTGCAAGACTGTCAATTAAGGTTTTGTACTCCACCTGAAATTCCTAGATGGAAGTGAACAAGATGTACTTGAAATGTTAAATATAACTTCTAACTGTATTGTTTGTCTCTGTAAATATGATAACTATGGTGCCTTTTTTGGTGACAGGACCAAGTTCCAGAATAAATTCAATTATGTTTACAGGGTGGATTTGGAGAAGCTCCTCTTATAGCTGGAATAAGAGGTCACTGTCCCAGACAGACCAGAGAAGGAGACAGAAGCAGGGTTAGATGGGAAAGTAAAGAGTTAAATACTGTGAATTTGAGGTAATACATCAAAAGCACAGATACACAATATAAATAGAGCTGAGGGGAGGAAAAAAACCCATGGGAACTGTACATACCCACTTGCTTACCAGAGTGGTAACATGGTTAATATGCAGCTAAAAAGGACTAGGAACAGATGCAGCTCAGTGAAATACACCAGTGACAACTGAGGAATTATGATCCTAGATTTTATCAGTCATTATATCAGGTTAGTTCTGATGCTTAACTGCAGCTGGAATATTATGCTAAAAGTTGGTAATATTAAAGGTGACTGGAATTGAGAATAAAGGTAAAAACTTGTCAGCTCTATATATAGTACACATAAACTTCACGTAAGATGGTAATGGTCTTCCTGTGTAGAGCAAGATGGGACTCCCTGCATTTGGAGGACTGTAAATTTGGATGGCTTCCAACTATTTTTATTTTTTTTTAATAGGACTGGCCTGCAGTTAATGCAGGAATAAAATACTGGTTTGACTTCCACAAGCTTCTTTTGAAGCACTGAGTGTCTCTGGTATTACCAGTACCTTTAACCTGAAAATAGTAATTTCTCACACTGGTAAAAATACAGCAAGTATCTGTATGATGGTGTTATGTGGTTTTATATAGAAAAGAGAGACCAACACTGACTTATCAAACTCTGCCCTTAGCGTACTTGTGAGAGTGCAGCACTTTGAACATTTGTGGATGTTACCATGTCTCTCAACATGAATTTCAGCTCAACTCTTTCAACAGACCCAACACAATTTATGTGATTACTGCTTCTGTATTTACTGCATTTTGTAACAACTCTTCTTTTCCTTTAGCTTTACCTTCAGGCCAGAATGAAAGGAGACTGGGCAAGACTTGTACGTCCTACTCTACAGTTTGGCCTTATTGCTGCATCCATCTATGTGGGTCTCTCGCGTGTTTCCGACTACAAGCACCACTGGAGTGATGTTTTAACAGGACTCATTCAGGGAGCAGTGGTAGCTGTGCTCGTTGTAAGTAATTCCTGAGGGGGGTTGTGTCTGTAAACCACCGCTTTTACAAACTGCACCTTACAACTGCAGGCTGTGTTCAGAGAAAAGCAGACCTGTCCTCCTAATGCTTTGAAAATTGCTGGAGAGGGGAAACAACTCTTTTAATTGGGTGTAGCAATAATACTTCAGGGAGTGAGGCACACTTTGGGCCAAGGATGAGATAAGCGGCTGTTTTAGCTGTTAGACAACATCGAATTTTCCCTGCCCAAGACCTTTTCAAATAACTGAGATGGAAATGGTCAATGATGCAAAACTCTCTGGGCCTCTACATAACCTTTTGCTTCCAGCTGAATTCTGTAACTCAAGTGCAACAGCAGAGGAGAACTGCATATATTAGGTAAGCAGGGGGGAGGGGGAGGAAGGCGTTAAGGGTAGGGACAGCATGGAAGTGTCTGCCTCTGCCAGCTTATACAGCCTGGTTTTTTTCAATCTGATGGAAAACTAAAACTCTTCACCATTTCTTGTGCGCATTTTGAGTGCTAAAAGGGTTTTCGAAACAACCAGTGTGTGAAACTTAGCTGTACTGATGAGTGAAAAGCTATCCAAAGGGACAGAGAACCCACTAAACTTGGAGCTGCAGGCCTGGCTGACTTAGTGGCAGCAGTTGTGCTGGCTGTCACCAAAGTGCCATAGTTGATTTGTCCATGGGAAGGGACAGATCAGAGACGCTCCTAGTTCTGAGACATGAGCTAACCGAGGTGATACTGAAGAATTCAGTTACCAGGAACTGAGGCTCATCTGGAAGAACCACCTCCCAGATAAACATTTTCCCAGCTGACAGTCAGAAGGCTATGGTTCATTTCAAGAGAAAGCTTTGTTTACTTATTGCAATCGATCATCAAAACAAATCTTGAAGCAGCTCTGGGAAACCTACAGATACTGCATTAGCTGTCATTAAATGGCTGTGTGTTGATTAAAACATAATCGAACCCTGCATTTTTGTACAATCTCCTTTTCTAAGAAAAGGAGTGCAGGGAATAAGGAGCATCAGGGATTGAAGGCTGAATACACTTTTATTAGGAAAACAAGCTCAGTGAAGGGTGTAGGATGACTGAGAAGATGTCTTAAGCTATGTGTGGTAATACAAGAATGAGTAGAAAGTGGCATTACAGTAAACAGAGCTGAAAGGTGAGGAAATGGTTTTTAAAAACAAAAACCCCTGAACAAAACCCTTACCTGAAAGAACTTAAAGAGTTCTCAAGAAACAGAAAGCTGAGGTAAGAGCATGCTGGGCAGCAACTGCAAATGGAGCACTAAACTGAGTTGAGTGAGTGCAGCTGAAACGCATCTGGTGTGCAGCCGAAGCAGCATGCTGGATCATCAGCCAGCCCTCAGTGTGGATGGTGGTTTCTTCTGCTGCCCTAAACTGCATTCTGCAGTTCTCAGGTTTGCAGTGGGAGGGCAAGAGGTGATGTAGGAATGAAAGAGATCATGAGAAAAGGCTTCTCATTTATTGCACTTCATGCAGCAGTGTACCCAGCACATCTGCTAGTACAGCTTGGTGAAGAGGGCAGCAGGAAGGGAGCAAGCAGCAGAATTGGATCAAGGTAGTTGCTACTGTGAAGGAAGCGCGGTGGTATGTTCAGAGGCATGCCTGAAGGGATAATGTAGGTCACACTGACCTTAGAGCTGCTGGAGCTGTGGGTGAGACACATGTAGTGGGGAGGGAACTGCTGTGAACCCTGCCAATCCAAGTTTGGTTTAACTGGTGCAAGTGAGAGGGACACCCTGGAGAATTAATCGTTACTAACTATTGAACGCTCTTTCTCAGCTCAGGCACAATCTCTCCTGTCCTGTTATAAATAAATTCAGAATGAATTTAACCACACATGCGATGTGGGCCCTCAGAAGGCGTATCTTGCTCCTTCATTTATAGTTGTTCAAACTACAGCTATTGTAATCAAGCAGTGCCTGACACAGCAGTTCGAGCAGTGAGTTAGTGCACAAGCCTTGGGTTTGGCTTAAACCAACAGTGGCTAAGTGGGCAATGGGAGCAGGGGGAATAGCCAGAGAAAAAGCTACTGAAAAAAGCTGCTAGAATTTTATACAAGATGTCCTAGCAATTTTCTAATGTTTTAATATGTTTAAACTTTTTATTAGTTCTTATATGGAATTTACTTTCTGCAAAAGCATTTATCCATTGTTTCAAAGACTTACAAGTGCAGGAGTTTAACACTAATTTGTTCACTTAGGTTGTATACGTGTCTGACTTCTTCAAAGTGAGAGGATGTACATTTCAACCAAAAGAAGATTCCCATACAACCCTACATGAGACTCCAACAAATGGAAATCACTTTGGCAGCAATCATCAGCCATGAAGAATGACCCACCTCACCTGTCTTGCTCTCTGAAAGGAAAATGATTTCACAAGTCTAACTATGTAATATAAGTAAATGCCTTTAAGGGACTGCTGCTGCTCTTGAATGCTCACTTTACCTGTACATAGTAACATCTACCACAGTTACTGTATATCTAAACTTTAAATTTCTGTTGGTTCAAGCTCTTGCTTCAAAGAAAAAAGCTATTCAAATTGTAAATTTTTATTGTAAACACGGTAACAGTTATATTACATACACTGCTGTTTGTACATGCCTTGTTGAAACAACTGTGGTTTAAATACACACTATTAAAAGAAATAATGACTTGAGATGGAAGTAGCATGTGAAGCTGATGCACTTGTTCCATAATGTGAATCTAGTACTGTTTTTAGAAGGTACCTTCTGTTACAGGTAAAGGCTTGCAGCAAACACGATATCTCTCTTGATTTTTGTAATCCCTATTAAAAAAGGAAAATTGTATTAGTACCTACTGCCATGGTCACTGTTTTTAAGTACAGTTACAGACATGTAATACTAGGCAGTAGAGAAAGTGTTACAAGTCTTAAATAGAAGTCACTGTACATCCATTTTCAGTCACAAACTCCCTTAAGCTGTCAGAATGCTTCAAAACACTACCTCTTTAAGTCAAACTCTGTAACATAGATGTTAATCTGGAAAGAGAGAATGATGCTGTTTACCATGAAGTCAATACCAGAAGCTTATATTACCCTGCCCTACTTACCCCATGGCCCCCAACTTTCCTTTCATATGCTTTCTAGAATTACTTCTTACACTGTGGAAGTGAAATACATACCCTCTGCAAACTTATTTTCCAACTCTGTGTTTCCAATGGCTTTTGCAGCCTGGCACATCTGTCGAAGCAATTCTTCGAGTCTTCTCATACAACGAATTATGCTACCTGTATAAAAAGAGTGAGGGAAAACTTTGTGTCCTCTGCCACATCATGTCACTGAATAATTTGGGTTCCTTGAGCCCACTCTGGACCAAAGCAATAGTTCCTTCTCCAACCCTATTCAATACATCCAGAAGCCAAGGGTAAAAACAGCCCTATGTCTTGAGCTTGGTTTCTGTTTAACAGTGAATCTCTCCATCAGGCATTTCCTTGAAGCTATCTCCAAATGCTTGTGCTGTTCTTGTATCGTCAGAGCTTCTAACTAATATCGAGTCAGGGGACGTTCTGGGCTGTTCAGTAATTACTAGTGGATTTTTCTTTCATGTAAACTTCCCTCACAAACCATAGAGGTCGGGGGGAGTCACAAGTTTGCTGCTTCAAGAGCCACCACATGTAGGTTTTTGGGGTGGGGATGTGTTTATCTTTTCAATAGCCCTTAGTGCCTTAGTTGGCAGAGCTGGTGCTAGAGTAAGACTCGTGCCTTACTACTCCTCTGCCACGAGTCTACGGGCCATGCTACCGCTCAGCCACCCAGCTGCACGCTTATCAGCTCAGCTCGGACACAGCTCCTGCACTGCAGCCTAGTACCCACTGTAATTTCTTATGCACTCACATCCTCTTTTAACTTCTCTTCTCGGCCCAAGTCACCGTAACAAGTTTCACAAGATGACCCTAATGCTTATGTCCGGTCATTTCCTCCTGCATCATCTCATACCTACAGTCAGAAGTACTGTATGCAAAATAACTGTCACAGGGTAAATATGGGATGATGGGATTGAGAGCAGCCTTGTGAAGGACTTGAGGGTACTGGTGGATGGAAAGCTGGACATGTGTGCTCCATGCCCAGAAGGCCAACTGTATCCTGGGCTGCATCAAGAGAAGTGTGGCCAGCAGGTCGAGGGAGGTGATTCTGCCCCTCTACTCCGCTCTGGTGAGACCCCACCTGGGGTACTGCGTCAAGCTCTGGAGTCCTCAATACAACAAAGACATGGACCTATTGGAGTGGGTCCAGAGGAGGGCCACAGAAAACAGCTTTCCCAGAGAGGTGGTAGGAGCCCCATCCCTGGAAACATTCACAGTCAGGCTGGACGAGGCTCTGAGAAACCTGACGTAGTTGAAGATGTCCCTGCTCACTGACAGGGGTTTGGACTAGATGATCTTTCTATGGTTCAATGAAATACTAGCTCTAGACAAGGCATAATATCTGGAGAAAAACTGTCCATATGAAAAGAACATTCTACAAAGCTTCTGGGAAAGTAAAATAACACTTTTCTTCTAAAAAAACATTCATATGGTACCAGTAAGCCACGTCAGTTTCTACAGTAAGAATAGTTTCTGTGAGGGCAGCAGTCTGTAAAACTTGCTGCAGTGACATGAGGTGAAAAAACCATCCGTAGTCCATTGGACACAAAGCCAAAGCAAGTGAACTGGGGGCAGCTCCCCCGAGCACAGCCATGCTGCATTGTGCCAGGCCCTGGCTCGGCTCTCGAAGATCCTGCTCGGCTCAGTTTACAAGGCCAATCCTGACAACTGTTCCAGGGAGTGCTCATTTACGGGCAGCACAGCTGGGCTTGTTCCAGACACACTTCTCTTGTGCATTAAAAATAATTGCATTTTTTGAATAAGTTACTATTGTCTATACTTACTGCCACAAAACAAAACATTCAATCAGCAATTGATTAATAGGATAATTAGCTCAGCTTACTGTTCCTCCCTACAGCTTTAAAAACCTTCTCTCATTTCTCTTTCTTCCCAACGCACAGATTTCAGCTTAATGACAAATAATTTTCATTAGCCAATCAACACTGCTACAATCTGTGGCAAGCGCGCTTGCTCTTGGAGCACCCTGGCTTATGCTGCAACCTGAAAAGGCAGCCATTTACTTAGCACAGCTACCAGTTTTCACACTACTGATAACTGCATCCAAAGGGTTTCAGACATTTGACCATCAATACTAGCAGAAGAGAAGAACACCATCTGACTCTCGGCCTGTGAGAGTGGAAGCATGCCACTGACTCAAGATTTCTGTCTAGAAAAGATTTTGCTAGTGCCTGTGAGCCTGCTCGCAGCACAAAACTGAACGCTGATCTCTCACTCATGAAGAGCACAGCTTTTTCAGAAAACACTTCAGTTTAAGGAGGGTGATGAAAAACTAGTTTTTAAAAAGTGGCTTCCAATGTGCTCTCTAATGGCTGGACAATTTTCTTACTCCTTACTAAAACTGGTGCACAACAGTGAAGATGGGACTCCCTATAACAGCAGCAACTCAGAGTAAGGACACTGTGGGTTTTGGTTTGTGCTTTGTTGTTTGGTAGATTTTTTTTTTTTGTATTCTGGTTTTTAATTTATTTGAAGTCACTATAGCAACTTGGCTAACCAGGGTAAACTCCCCTAGGATTTAGCAACACCACACTGCATTTAAGGTCAGCATAAATGATAAGTGGATGTCTGAAGTGCTTTCCTTCCTTTTGGACTGTGAAGGGAAAATCAGCCTATTAAAAGTTAAGGGAAGAATGATGTGTCAGCTGCTGCCACAAGAGCTGAACTTCTCAAAACAGGCCCATACGATCTAACTTTGGGGGAGCTAGCACTGTTGACTAGGACAAAGCTGATCAACTAGCCTTACACCAAGTTTGGTAAATGGACCACGTTACTGCCCTGTGTATTCTGAACTGTCAAGTACCAATGTGAAAACATAAGCCAGCTACTGCTTCTCCTCTGTGTTGCCCCTATTCAGGGTGCCTCTACAGCAGATGTAAGGCTCAGACAGTCATTGCAGTAGGAGGAATCTGCTGAATACAGAATCAAAGGCTGCCAGGGTTCCTACTGCCCGCGGGCAACCTGCTTTAGGAAGTTCCTGGCTCTACGCACTGGATTACAGAAGTGCATGAATTCCTTTGCTTTAGGGGCTCCCATTTGCAACTGTGTACATTCAAACAAGAAAACAGCATTTGAGAAAGGCAGGACCATGGTGACAGTAACAACTACAAAAGGATTTTCAAATATCAGTCATTACACACAGACTTGTAAGACTAGTGCACACGTCCCGCTGTTTCTCACAACTTTCCATACAGCTAGAAACAGACTACATCAGGCTTTGCATTCTGGTTTGACCTCCAGGTGGATGGTTTGTCTTTTTGCAAAGTATCTGGGCTTTAAGTCATTCTGCTTTTAAAATAATGAAAACTAAGGATCCTTCCTCCAGGGGCAGTTTCTAGTTCTCCAATTTCAGAAACCAAATTAGCCCAGGTAACAGATTACATCTAGGCTTTTCAAACACCGGCACTGCACTGCTGTGATGAACCATCCAAAACAGAGACTTGGTTACCACCCCTCACTTCTGTCATCATTAAGACAGCAGGAGGAACCTTCAATTTACCAAGCAAATAAACCACTTAACTGTAATAAGGACAAGCACAAGAGCTGTACTTTTTAATGGCACGCATTTGGAACATGGTATTTTTCCCTTTAACTAGTGAAGTGAAGTGTTACCTTTGTTGCAATATTTAGCATTTCTGATTTTACAGAAAGTTTTTAGAATGCAGAGATACTCCTTTTAAAAAGTCTTCTATAGATTCTAAACTATCAGCAGTTTAACTACAAACTAACATATATAGTAAACAACTTTTTCCACTTAGTTTCAGCTGTGCAGATACTTGAATATGTCTGAATTAATACGTTTTGTGATCTAATACTGGGTTATTCAGAATTATCACTCCATGTTACAGAATCACCATCTCACACCTCCGAAAGAAGAACTGATTAACATACCTTCAAAGACATCAGTCATTTTGCAGATGTGAGCAAAGTTAGCTCCATTTGCCCATGTATACACAACATCCATTAGGTTGGGTCTGAAAGAATTTAAGTAATTTTCTTCATCAATTTCCAGTTTTGCTTCTGCTGACACCTTGGCGATTCTTTTTGCACACTCCTTTAAAATAAAATATTTTAAATTTATAATATGCTCAAGCAGATTAAGTGTTTAACCAATAGCAAGTCTTGCATATTATTAGGTGCTGCATGCAGGATAAGGTTTTTTTTTTAGGGTGAATATTCAGAAGCAAAAAGTAAACCACTGTTTAAGTCTGCCTGCACTAACAAGTGTAGTAAGCAAGCTTATAAAAGTTTTTAAAGGCATGCTCTAAATTAGCATAAACATTTCTTACAAACAAGATAACCCATTATTACACACTGCAAAACCACATGCCGTGCCAGCCAAATTCACTGATGAGCCAAAATCAAGTCGTCACCGTGCACTTATTATACTTGACTCATACACTCTTCTCATGTCAACATTAACCCGGAGCTCAGTCAGGTTTCCAAAGGACAGATTACCTGCATTTGCCGAAGTGGTCCTGCCAACTGCTCTGTCAACTTTGGCATTTCGCTGGACTGAAAAACAAGGCATTAAATAATCTGACGTGCTCCCATATATTAAATGCAAAAACAGAAGTTCAATGTGTGCTAGTGCCATCCTAAATTATTCCAATGACTTCTCAAACCTGTTATCAAATGCTAAAATTCACTGAATTACCAAAGTACATGTTCCTCAAACTAAACAGAAAACAAAACCTTTCTGTACAGTATGCCAACAGTATGAAAAAAAGCACCTGCTTTCTGAATACTTCCAAATTCCCCCTACTTAGCTGTTCGACAGTTCTGAACTGCTGAAATGTTGATCATTTACTACTTTAACTGTTAAAAACTCTTCTTTAAGAATATAAAAAGCAAATGTTTTTAATAACTGAAACATCAGTGGTTGTGTATGAAAATAGGGCTATTCAAATACAGCAACATTTTTATGACCTACTAGATCCAAGTACTACCGTTGAGTGAACCACAATATTCTAACAGTGGCTTTACCTGCCACTGTATGCATCCCTTCTACTAACAAAGTAATTCATTAGCATCTGCTGCTAATCGGCTTTCCACAAATAGAATCAACTGAAGTGATGCATTTTCCTAGCTATCTGCAGTAATATTTCATATTGAAGTTTATTTTACTGTATTTTCTTGATGACTCTACACTTCTATACATCTTGTGGGTGGGAAAACAACAGCATCTGGTATTAAATGCCCATGTTTTTGCTTTTAGTAACATACGGTCTGTTTTTAATAGCTCCTTTGGTATCAATTCCACGTGGTACTGCCATTTCCATCAACAGGTTAAGGGTACTGTCCGAATAACATAACATGGGCATGTCTCAGTTACAGGTACCCTCACCTGTAGGAGCAGATATTGTTTAGCCTCTTTTTTGAAATAATCATTCTACATTTTAAATTGTAAGGATGTGCATGTGTATACATACATAAACACAAGCACATATGCTGAGAATCTATTAACACTGCCTTATTGCATGAGGAGGAAATACTTGTAGATTCATTAGAAGGACTGCAATTTTACACAACCTTTGGCATGTTACTCATGATGAAAAGTATTTTATTGCTGAAGCTGCAATGCTTTTGGTAAGTTCAATGGGAGTTCATGTCAAACACCTTAGGAAACGAAAAGAAATGTGCAATGGCTCGTACTGTTATGACCAATTTCTGAAACTGAATTTTAAGCAATACTGTTGGTAGACAGGAATGTCTAGAATTCATTAATTGAAGAAGTAACTCACGTTCTCTTGAAATACAAAACAGCTTAGTAGTGCAGTTGCCTGTTCTGCAGATAAGTCACTGAAGAGACCATTGAACATCATCTCTGTCAGAAGTAGTTCATCAGCACTAAAATAAAGAGAAAGAGAAGGAAGCTTAGGGAAAAGACTTACTGAAATGTAACTTTTGAATGAAGTGCTGTTAATCTGTTTTGTGAAGCAACTGGATTTAGATAAGAAACAATAGCTTCTTAAATTTTCTTACAAAAACACCAAATATTAATATTAGCTTTTTAAGGGATATGCTAATTAGTAAGAGAGTGAGACAGTGTTTTAAAGAAACTAAAAGCTCTTATTGAACTACAAAGAATCTCTCCTGATACTCCATAGAAGTCAGACTAACAGTTGCTCTAGTCAGATTTTATCAGATAGGACACTGAGAGATTGAAAAGAACCAGAGAGTTAGGCAACTTATGAAAAGGGCTAAAATTGGTACTGCTATTGCTCAAAAAAGATTCAACTGGTTATTTTCAAGACACTGAAAAGAAGAACAAACTTGCTTCAATTTACTTGTAGAATAAAGACTTAATCATGAATTATAAAAGGAAGTGCATGATGTGGATACAAAATACAAACATATTATTTGGATAAAACATCAAATTGTTGGTAAGACTACACTTTTATTTTCAGAGTTTATCAGACAAATGCACAAGATGGGGAAAAAAAAAGTAGATTTTTTACAAAGAAAGGTTTAACTCATCAACAAACAGTGCCTGAAAGTCAAGAAGTTGATAAAATTCTGATTCAGGTTCCCCATTTGCTATCAAATTTTGGAGGGGCAAGAAGTTATTAGATATCAAACAAATATAGGTAGCATCTTTCAAACGATCCGTAAAGCAAGGAGTACAGCAGTCACTGGGACTTTTAAAAATACACAATTCTAACAATATCCGAGTTACATGCTGAAGTACTAAAAGTCTGATTCATGAGTTTCCATGGAATCTTTACAATATGTTTCAATATATATGTACCTGCTAAATGTATTACAGTAAAATGCATCACTTCCATTGATTTGTTCCAGCAGCCCTATGGAAGTTATTAAGCTGTATTCCAAAGTTGTTAGCACCTTGGTAATTGCTGACAATCACTGTTACACTCTTGTTTGTCAGTGACTCTGTAGTAAGAGTCCTGGGAAGTAGAACCAAAGAAACAGAGACCCTCGTCTCATGTAATGTACAATATTAAATGGAAGCACACACTATTGCCTAAACTGCGTGAGAAAACAGCCACTGTTTGGGTATTTTCATGTCCATGTTTTAGTTTCCAAATCTACTGCATTTTGTCCTTAAGTTGCTCTCTTTCCTGCTTCAATCAGTATATTCCCTGTATGATACAGATCACACAGTTTCTGAAGAATTTTTCTAATGGTCTCAGAACTTCAAAACACAAACATGACACACTGATTTCAGCGAGGACAGTAAAGTGTGTATTCATTACAGTAATCACTCTGCACAGAGACCAATTACCTGCTGATTTCACAAGCGACCCGTCCTTTCATCTCAATAACATCTGAAGACGTGGCAAATCCCAGTCTTCTCAAAACACGCTTGCGGCACTTGAGCTCATCCATTTGTAAAACAGTTCTGGCTTTTTTCAGTTCTCGTTTTGCTGCTTTAATATCCATAGCAATCTGAGGAGTCACAAGGAGAGAAATTACATGTTGCTGGTTTAACAGATGCAACTGTTTTAAAGACATTATTTAATTTATGTGAAGGCCTCAGAATGACAGTATATGGACATATTAATTGACACTGCCTCATCTAACTACTAGGAGGAAGGCTTAGCACATATTTAAAAAAAATAAATCATCTCCATTTACCCATAGGAAACTCTGGCAAGTTTGGGAAGTTAAGCTATTTACACAGAGCAGGAAAAAAACCCAACCAACCCACACCAGAAAACCACAGAAGACATCTTTGGTTGAGAAATAAGCACTCATCTTCTGAGACCTCTACTAAGTCTCAGCTAACCAGCTGTACCATCAAATGTAAGCCAAAGGCATTATTTCCTTCTATTAGAGCTCCTCCAATGTCTTGTCATTTATCACAGTCACTGTCAATGTCCTGACAGTGGGCTGTACAGTGCAGACACCTTCACAGAAGTCTGCTTGGTCCATCGGGTCTTACCACGTGCAACTTTGTGCTACCCATACCAGAACTACCTCACTTCTGTGAAACAACTCCTGGGGAACCTGTTTTCTGGGGCAGCATAGAAACATGAGAGCTGTTGTCGTGTACAACTAGTTTCAGTCTAACAGGGTACAACTCCATACAAAATAAGTAAGTGTATTGCTTCCAGGCTGGGAGTCAGCTCAGGAAGCAGCAGTACAATGATGATTTGTATGGTAGACTCCCCAAGCTAATAAGCCCCATCAATTAACTCAGCTCTGCCCAAGCATATTAAAATTTACCACTTTCAATTATCTGTGAAGACTTTACCTACACGGTATTGTGCTATGCCTATTCACTGGAAAAGACTCTAGTGGCACCTCTGTAACCTTGTAATCCCTGATGAATTTTCAGAAGAGTTTTCTTTTCAGGTGTGCTTCCCATGTACATCATCAATGAAGGGCATACCACTGCCTCAGCCAGTTTGTTAGTGAGATACAGTAATTTTACTGCATTTAGAAAGGATTATTTGGGCTTTGCAAATAAAAAGAAAAGTGACTAAGAAGGGAACTATTACTGTCTCTCTCTTCAGTTAAATACGGATACAGTGTTTTGGTTTGTACTTTTACCTGTGCCTTTTTTTCACAGAGTTTGTACACAGTTTCCAAGTTGGGATCATTGTGAAGAGGATGTGAATACATCCTATGCTCAAATGCTTCTACTTTTTGGATTACTTTTTTCAGTCCTTGATCTTTGATACCCATGTCATCAATAGGGTCCAGTAACGGTACTCCATCGGGAAATCGCTTCTGTACTTCCTAAAAAAAAAAAAAGTATTTTTGCAAGATTAGTAACAGCAAAATAAACTATGCTTATACAAATCAGCTGGTACAACTGCAGGGACAGAAGGCAGTAGTGTAAGTTTGTTATGTTTCAGCAGTTTCCAAAATCACTTTAAAATGACTGTTGACAAGGGGACACAACTGACATACTTCACTGCTTCCTACTCCTTTTAAGAATAAGGCTGAAGATGTGATGCCAGGTTTAGACAAATTTCTTTAGAGGAAGTTGTCTTGGGTTCAAGAGTACCTCAATAATCAGAGCAGAGAGCTTACACAATCTAGTGGAACTTACTTGTATAGATTTTAAGACACTTTGCCTGTTGTCAATAGGCCTCAGGTCTTTTGGAATGTAAAGTCGGACACTGCTGATAGCTGAGAGAAGATGTACCAAAACAGGAACAACCTACCAAAGACAGTGCAGTAAATGATAAATCAGTAAAAAATATTTTTATTATTACTGTTCCATAGAAAAACTTTACAAAGGAAAGGGAAAACTGAGTACACAAGGACACATCAGTGGGTCAAGGAATATCAGAGAGCAGGAAAATGCGGGTAATGAGATAAAGTATTAATAAAGAAGAAAAGTGAGTTTGTCCAAATGGGAGAATTCTGTATTCAGTTAAATCTGGAGAGAGGCTACAAGTGGGAAAAAAAAAA